GCGTTTCTCGAATCAAGTACAACAAATTATAAGAATCTCGATGTTGGAGACAAATTTGAATATATCTTTACATGTAATGGTTCCCACAACGCAAAAATTGGTAGATATATAAAGGACTGCTTTGTTATTAGAAAAAAATACCGAAACTTGTGATTAGCCCCACTCGATTGTAACACTTTATCAAAGACTTGTGCTAGCCCTTATTATTTGAGTAATTATGATATGTTAGGTTTTATTCAACAATATGTATTATTCAACACATCTATTTTTGTTTGTTTGTTACTTTCTTTTGTAATGAAATAAAGTTCTTCTATAATAATTACAGGTGAGGTTGGTAAAGAAAAGGTACTGACTGCTCAGGTGAGTTGCTTGTTGTGAATTCAGGATCCCGTGCACTGCTGTACCCCAGCACAGGACGGTCATACACGACAGGACGAAGGCTTTGGAGCAGGTCCCGCTGATCATGTTTCACCGTTACTTCAGCTCAGGTCTAGAGTGATAAGAGAGCCAAAAGATATCCATAAATGTATAACAAAATTCCCGTATTATTTATACATGATAACAAAAACATTAAGTAGCAAAAACGTTGCAGTTACCTTGATTAAATGACAATGACCTTAGATAACTTGGGTACAAGTACAGAAGAAACAGGTGTTACATTTCTGTGCTACGTCACCATATACAGGATCGATGTATCTACAAGATCTTTTTAAAGGATCTCTTCTCTCTTTTTGAAACATGTCTGGACAAATTTACATAGTTTTTCATTCATATCATAGCGCTTGGATGTCATAATATGTTTGAACAATTCTATTTTCGGTAAGTATGCATATTTCTTTTGTAACTGTGAGGAACTAATAAAGGATTTCCACATGTCAGTGTACAACGAGCATTCTAAGACAAAGTGTGCTTCATCCCCCTTAAATTCTGTTACTTGGGTGAGTCTGGTTATACCTATGGTTATATTCTATTACATTATTATCATTGTAGAAGTTTCATTACGTTGTGTCTATGGACAAGTACACGACAAGAAAACAAGACTTCAAGAGTCCATTTGATAGACAAAGTAAAGTGAAAATTTGACAATACATAATAATATTGTTACTTTCATGAAAAATGGAGGCATTGTTTTGTGAGTGCTCGCGTCTATTTCCGCAGATTAGTGGTCAGTATAACCTGTAAGAATGTCTGAATGGATTGTGATGTTATTCGGTAATAATATGAATAGGTCAAAAGGTACAAACATGCATTGAAATAACCTCCTATTTTCATATTTGCAGGGCTTCAAACGTAGCCGAAATGTCTGCACATGTCGAACATATGGGCTAGTTGCAGGGACAGCAACAAAACAAGACCCCAACTTCTGTAAGTATTCTTTTGTTAGACCACAAGTAAATTTTATGGATGACATCTTCTGCAGACTCCAAATCTAATGTGATAGGGCGAAAAAACAAAAACCAAAACAAGATTTATACATTTTCAAACTTGACATCATAAACCTTGTTAAAAAATGAATGATACCTATATTGTGCTAAGTTTACTGCCAACTATCACAAAAGCCTGGGGGCCATCCAAACCACGAAACAAATTCACATATACACAGCCACCATCACATTTTAAAGGAATAAAATACTTCACTGCATCAAAGTCAAAGACAAAACATTAAATCATAGAGCCTTGTTTTGTCTTCTCTCTTCATATTTATCTGCCATTCACTTTCTGGCATTGCAACTTTGCCCATTTTCGGCATGTTTACTTTCAGAGGGCAACAAAATTTATTTATTTTTTTTCAAAATCAGGCGAAAATTAATGCGCGCGCTGATGTCATCCATAATAATTATTTGCTGTGGCCGTAAACAGTACATAGGCTACCCACGACACAAAGTTCAATTAGTTACTTCATATATTTTAGCTTAGATCTGGCTGAAAGTCATAGATCACATAAAACGTAAAAATGACCTACTTCTAATTCGTGACAGCTAAAGAAGACACCAGGCTATGCAAACATGCAATTAAAACAGTCATAACTAGAGTCCCACGAACTCATACCTTCACCAAATGAAGTTAACTTACTATTTATAAAGGTTTCCCGAGATCATCGATTATGCAAATAAGGATCCTCATTTGCATGAATTACATAAATATGATCAGATATATTTTAGCAAAATGTCCCTGCAGTTCCAGAACAAGTTGCTAGGAGGAGCTAACATATATTTCTTTTCTGGCATAAAAAGTATAGTATGTCCAGGAGAAAAGATACAACTGGAAGTTATAGTACCAAGGAAAGACCTTGACCTTTGTTTTTCAACACATGCCTATATACCGAATACCATTACAACCTAGCCTCCACCAGGACTTTCTACGAGAATACGGATCGTAGAATTCGGCAATAAAGAGAGTAAAATTGGCCAAGGGAGATAGTTTCTTTCCCTCCGAACTGCGCGGCCAGTCAAACCTACAAGGCGGCCCAACTCCCCTGGCAAATATTCTCCTACATATAGCCAGCGTAGTTAGTCTGGTAGAGACTAGTCACAACCCATTTAGACTTACTTTCCTAAGTTACGCTTTCCAAAAATATGTTGGACACACACACAAAAGATTTTCATCTATCCTATCATACACTACCGCACAAAAAATAACAGTACTGTATTATATATATTGTTGACCAATAGATAAATAAAACATGCAGAATTGGGCAATAATTTGGAATTATCGAACAAGAAATGAAGATCGACAAAACATGAATATGTGACTTACAAGTTTGCAGAAGGTGCATCAACACCTTATGGGCAAAATGGTGTAGAGAGCACGAGAAATACTCCACATCAAGATTTGTCTTCTCATACTAACTTGTCAGGTTACGTGACGTGTGAAAATGTCAAACTCCAGGAGGTAACTTGATTTACCTCATGTTGTGGCATTGACACTCGCACGCACAGGCGCTAGCGGTAACGAGTTTTCGTGTTGTTATGTCGACAGTAATTTAATAAAGGCCATGTCTTTTCGGCTAATTGTTTGTGGCATTGCTATCTTATCCATGGTGTTGAGAGGACGATGGCGATAGAAATGTCTGTATTCGTTTAAAGCTGATCATTCTACGGAAAACTATCGGTTTAAATCATGAAGTTTAATCGTTTGGCTATGATGACGTTAGGACTGAGGTTTAAGTGCTTGCTGGCTGTGCTGACGCTGTGTGTGTGCTGGGAGGATGGCGCCGAGGCGGTGACAAAACAACAGCTTACCTACATAGCCGGTACGGTCTTGGTTTTATTGGTTTTATTGGAAAAAAACAAAAACCAATACAAGATTTATACATTTTCAAACTTGACATCATAAACCTTGTTAAAAAATGAATGATACCTATATTGTGCTAAGTTTACTGCCAACTATCACAAAAGCCTGGGGGCCATCCAAACCACGAAACAAATTCACATATACACAGCCACCATCACATTTAAAAGGAATAAAATACTTCACTGCATCAAAGTCAAAGACAAAACATTAAATCATAGAGCCTTGTTTTGTCTTCTCTCTTCATATTTATCTGCCATTCACTTTCTGGCATTGCAACTTTGCCCATTTTCGGCATGTTTACTGTCAGAGGGCAACAAAATTTATTTATTTTTTTTCAAAATCAGGCGAAAATTAATGCGCGCGCTGATGTCATCCATAATAATTATTTGCTGTGGCCGTAAACAGTACATAGGCTACCCACGACACAAAGTTCAATTAGTTACAAAGTTCAATTAGTTACTTCATATATTTTAGCTTAGATCTGGCTGAAAGTCATAGATCACATAAAACGTAAAAATGACCTACTTCTAATTCGTGACAGCTAAAGAAGACACCAGGCTATGCAAACATGCAATTAAAACAGTTATAACTAGAGTCCCACGAACTCATACCTTCACCAAATGAAGTAACTTACTATTTATAAAGGTTTCCCGAGATCATCGATTATGCAAATAAGGATCCTCATTTGCATGAATTACATAAATATGATCAGATATATTCTAGCAAAATGTCCCTGCAGTTCCAGAACAAGTTGCTAGGAGGAGCTAACATATATTTCTTTTCTGGCATAAAAAGTATAGTATGTCCAGGAGAAAAGATACAACTGGAAGTTATAGTACCAAGGAAAGACCTTGACCTTTGTTTTTCAACACATGCCTATATACCGAATACCATTACAACCTAGCCTCCACCAGGACTTTCTACGAGAATACGGATCGTAGAATTCGGCAATAAAGAGAGTAAAATTGGCCAAGGGAGATAGTTTCTTTCCCTCCGAACTGCGCGGCCAGTCAAACCTACAAGGCGGCCCAACTCCCCTGGCAAATATTCTCCTACATATAGCCAGCGTAGTTAGTCTGGTAGAGACTAGTCACAACCCATTTAGACTTACTTTCCTAAGTTACGCTTTCCAAAAATATGTTGGACACACACACAAAAGATTTTCATCTATCCTATCATACACTACCGCACAAAAAATAACAGTACTGTATTATATATATTGTTGACCAATAGATAAATAAAACATGCAGAATTGGGCAATAATTTGGAATTATCGAACAAGAAATGAAGATCGACAAAACATGAATATGTGACTTACAAGTTTGCAGAAAGTGCATCAACACCTTATGGGCAAAATGGTGTAGAGAGCACGAGAAATACTCCACATCAAGATTTGTCTTCTCATACTAACTTGTCAGGTTACGTGACGTGTGAAAATGTCAAACTCCAGGAGGTAACTTGATTTACCTCATGTTGTGGCATTGACACTCGCACGCACAGGCGCTAGCGGTAACGAGTTTTCTTGTTGTCATGTCGACAGTAATTTTAATAAAGGCCATGTCTTTTCGGCTAATTGTTTGTGGCATTGCTATCTAATCCATGGTGTTGAGAGGACGATGGCGATAGAAATGTCTGTATTCGTTTAAAGCTGATCATTCTACGGAAAACTATCGGTTTAAATCATGAAGTTTAATCGTTTGGCTATGATGACGTTAGGACTGAGGTGTAAGTGCTTGCTGGCTGTGCTGACGCTGTGTGTGTGCTGGGAAGATGTCGCCGAGGCGGTGACAAAACAACAGCTTACCTACATAGCCGGTACGGTCTTGGTTTTATTGGTTTTTATTCGGAGAACATTTCACAGACCGAAGGTTGAATCATACGCCCCGTACATTAGGTAAGGGGTAATAACATCTTATGACACATTAACACTAATGTACAAGTGTTTAAAAAACAAACATTTTCTTTAAAAGAACTAATCAAAATGAACATAACGACAGGTAGTGGCGTTACAATACGGTACAGTATAAAGTTACAAAACAGCAAATCATTCTACTACTTAGTTAGCGCTGTTTAAAAGCTGGACGGGATAAGACAGTGGGCTTTTTGAATACCTGACAGTGTGGACTGGCAACAGGTTTTTTTAAATTTTGTCTAGTTTCCCTACCACGTACCTCTGCTATGATGACTTATGTACAGACATTGGTTTCCTCGACTGAGGAAACCAATGTCTGCGTGTTCAGATTTGTACAGCTTTAGACACTGAGAAACCACATCGAGATATCGAGACTCTTGAAATCTGTTGTACTTGATCATGTTGATTAGAGAAACGTAAATAGCTTCTTGCTTATAACATCATATGTGCACATTCCATAAAAAAAACAAAAGTGAAATTAATTTTCTATATGCTTTGGACAAAATGGACAGAATCTTTGGTCAGGGGCTACATTGTAATATCTACGTATACCTGTTTGAATATTTAATTTATGACTACGGATTCTTAATTGAGTTATTGCTTTACGAATTAAGATGTAACACGGGTGTTTCTCTCCGTGTGCAGGTAGAATCGCAGAGATCCATGGGAAGGTGAACAGAACCAGTGTGAGAGTGACTGACACCAGCCTGTCTCTCCGGGCCATGGCGAACCGAGGTCTTCCCAGCGTGCACCTGCTCACACAGCCGACATTCCGCCACACGCCTGTTCATAACGTCAGAACTACACAACAACCACGTAGGTAGCATGAAAGTTCATCTGAGTTGGTAAATTACATTATGAAAAACTTAAACTTTTCTCCAACTCAAAATTTGACTCACCAGAAATTTTCGACTGAATCACTCAGTCTTCCTCAGCTATCTGACCCAAATGCTGTGGACACGTGATTTTTCCCAGCAAAGGGTCAAAGGTTGTCTGATATCGACATCAGACAA